AACCTAGAAATGAGTCTAGGAATCTAGTTAATAATTCTCGGAATAATGACTTTAGATCACCTAGAAATTTTTTGGCTCAACCTAGGCTATGCATAATCCAAACATAGTGTGCCATTATTGTTTTAAGATAGGACACATAGCTCCCGTTTGTTGTGCTAAACATAGGGACATTTCATATAATTATGATTATGATTTTTATTTGCCTAACCCTCAAGGACCGAGCGTTTGGGTACCTAAAAATTATTTTTAGATGCATATGGAGGTGTGTTTGAAAACTAGATTTTTGTAGTGGATGCTTCAAGCATGAAACCTAATGAATTGCATCAAGGGAAGTTTGGGGGAATTGTTTTTGTTATAAACATGGTATCAGTTTCAGGGAGAACATACAACAATGATGTTTTGTATTAAACATCCATGCTCAGGGAGTACACTTTTTAAACTTTGTTTAGTACTTTTTTCTAATGCCAAAAAGGGGGAAGTGTTTGGGTATATGCAACAAGTGAGAGGAGATCTTGTTTTCAAAGACGTATAGGGAATTACCATTATTCTCTCTTTGAAAACCCATCTTGGCCTGCATATCCCCGCCTTGGTTTGTCATTATCAAAGAGGATGAAATTGTTAAAAAGCATTTTCACATTGATGGAAAGATTCAAAGTAATAGCAAAGTTCTTTGAAGGAACAAAAAGCACAAGAAAGGCATTGACGTTTCTAAAGACGACGACGTTGGGGTTTTGAAGACGTTGTCTAAAGACTTAAGTTTTTATTGTAACAAGCTCATTCAATTTCTCTAAGTCATGTCTCAAAACACAATATGTTTTTCATTCACCAAAAGAGTATTTTCATAAATGTTTTTAAGTTTCTAAAACCCCGGGTTCTTGCCTAACAAAAACCATAACCATCGGTTATCGGTGTTCGGCTATGCCGTTTGGTTTTCGGCATTGGTTATTGGCATTGATTTTAGCCAAATGGTTTTTGAGTTTTTATCTTTTTTTTTGCTTCTGGGAACATTTAAAGGTTTTCCAAATGATTAGTTTTTAAAAACCATAACCTTCGATTTTCAGCGTTGGTTATCGGCGTTGGCTTTTGGCGTCCGAATCAACCAAGTGGTTTTTAGGATTTTATTATTGGTTTGTACTTCTGGGCATATCCAAATAGTTCTCTAACAAAAAGATGTCAACAACCAACTTTCATGTTTGGTCTTTTGGCAAAAACCATGTGAAACGACATTAACTTGGTTTTTACCTTAATGTCGTGGTTTTTAAGTTATTATACTTTGTTTCTACCTAAAATATATTATATAAGAGTTTCCAACACTTTTTTTAAATTTGGAAAGCTTTGATTTTTTACATCGATTTTCGTCGTTGGCCGCCAAATCATGGTTAAGGCGAACCATCCCAACAACGATGTTGGCCTAGCGAGCAACGCTGTTTTGCAATGGTAGTAGGTTTGAAAATAGCGATTTTGGATTTTGAACATCTATGTTTTGGCAAGGTTGACTCACGTCATTTTTTTGGTAGTAGGTTTTTGAACAGCGATGTTCACTAGTGAACATCGATATTTTCAAATGACCGTTGGGCTATTTAAGACAAAAATCTTTCCATTTTTGAAAGTCAATCACCCCAACATCGATGTAGCCTTCAAAACATCGATGTTTTGATGAGCGTTAGCCATTTCTAAAGAAAAGTCAAAGCCAAAACAGCGATGTTCACTATATGAACATCGATGTTAGGCCAGAATTCTGTAGACCAACCTTGATTTGATTTCCACCAATCATGCCATTAAACCCCAATCAAGTTCCATCCGTTGCACATCATTTTTGGGTATAAATAAGGGTCTTTTGGATCTACTTTTAACAACCATTCCTCATAAATTTCATAGCTTTACATTGCACCATTCCATAAACTTTTTACATAACTTTTTAGAGTCATTTCTTGAGGAATTGAGTGTGTTCTTGATCTAAATTAGTTTACTCATATTCTACTCTTTGAGAGAGTTTTTTTCTTGAGTGGTTAAGTGTTGTAAACACTTTAAGGGAGATTTGTTATCTTAATTGTACGAAGGAAGGGTATATTCCTTCCGGTTGAAGTCTTGGAGTGTGGTATCTCTGAGAAAGTGTGTTGAGGCTCGTGGGATTCGAGTTCTCAGGTTGTAACAATTTGGTAAGCACCCGTAAGCTTAATGGAAGTAGTGTAGCTCAAGAGAGTCTCTCGGGACACTAGACGTAGCTACACGTTACTGTGAACCAGTGTATATCGATGTGTTATTTCGTTATGCTTTTTAATTCCTCTCTTTACTTTATCCCTACAATTTTTATTCTGCAAAAATTTATAAACATTCTTGTGCCTCACTATTCACCCCCCCTCTAGTGAAGTTGACTTATCTAACAGGCACGACATAGGGGGGGCGAGGACCTACTCTCAACCTGAATCTCTCCTCTCTCACAACTAACTAAAGGAATGCTCTAATGGGACTCCTAAACAAAAAAAATTGGGTACTAAAAACAAATTCTTTGGTACGCCAAAAACCACTTAGATAATTGATAGCTGCGCTAGTCAACACATGACCAAAGATATGACGTGTCCAGTAGATATGGAGAATATAAAGCCATGTTCTATTAGTTTTCCTAATAAGAAATACGCCTTGGCCGAACAAAGGGGGAAAGTTGTTTTGAATGATTTGATAATCTTGGAGAATGTTTTGCTAGGTTCTCAACTTAATTGCAATCTTATATTTGTCTCTTAACTTCTTGAGAAAAAGAAATTAATTGCAACACCCTGATCTGCGTAACCCAAACTAACGAGTTAGCTAATTAGGTTTCTTCTAGATTTGTATTCACATGCAAAATATTTAAAAATATTTAAAAATGAAACATCAATTCATATTTATTTTGAAACACATTATAAATTAATTGGAGTAAATAAAATAAATATTTTGGAAACCTTTAAAACTATGTCGAACATTCTTATAATTTAAGTAAGCAAAGTTAACGGAATATTTAATTTAAAACAAACAAATTTGGTCCATCCACCAGGATCACGCCTCGCTTTCTTTCAGAATCTCATCCAATTTTTTAACCCTACCTGCGTGTAATTCATTAATCTGAGCGTGAGAATATCTAACGCTACAACTAATTCATAGATTAGCATCCATCAATATATAATCACACAATATCAAAAGACTTAGAAAATATCAGTATTTAATATCATGATCAATTATTCATTTATTTCAGTTCAGATCTTATTTGTTCTTACTATATTTAACCTACTAGGTTAAGGTTTAGCCACATGAGACTATAGTCAAATTCGTCATAGACATTCCAGACACTGCCTGGAGCCACTCTCGAAACCACAGAGAACTTCTCAGAGGCGGGTTGTAGCCCTACCTTATCAAGCACTGCAAGATAGGTCTTGGAATCCCGTACAAACGTTTTTAACCCAAAGGTCGTTGGGTATGCATTCACACCCTACAAGGCATGTTTCCTATCTTAATCCTATTGATGACTCAGATTTCTAATTCAATACGGATCCGCCTAGTACTACTAGGTGGTCTATTTCATAATTTCAGTTCAACATGTAATTATCACCAATTAATTACTATGCAAACTTGGATTAATTTATGGTTATTACTAAATTTTAAGATCAAGCATGAATGTATTTTTAGTTTGAATTAATAATGCCTATTTACTTGACTTCCTTCACGGAGCGGAACAGGAGAAGGCAAAACCAATTTGGAATGCAGCCCCAAATCGGCAAATCCTACCCTCTTACGGCGAACGGCAGCGGAATAGGTGACGACCAACGCACGGTCGGCATCCCACGCAACAGCGGCAACCAGGAGAAGGGGACCCTATGACAGAGGCAGCCTGCCTCGTCCGTAGTGACTAAATTTATATATATATATATATATATATATATATATATATATATATATATATATATATATATATATATATATATATATATATATCGGTAAGTCTAAAATGACACCAGTGCTACTGGTGTCATTTGCTTACACTAGTTCGTTTGGAGTACCTACGATGCTCCGTTTCTAAAAACGACGGTTCCTACCCCCCATAACTCTCCCCCCACCCCAGCCCCCCTCCCTGACTGCCAGGGTAGGGAGGAGGGCGGGAGGGGGGCAAGGGTGGGGCTGGGGTGGGAGGTTTAGGGGGGGGTTATGGGGGTAGGAACCGTCGTTTTTACAAACGGAGCACCGTAGGTACCCCAAACGAACTGGTGTAAGCAACTGGTGTATAAGTAACTGGTGCCATTTTAGACGCTCCCGGTGTGTGTGTAGATCCGCCTAGAAGCAGAAAACATTTACGAACAAATCAACAAAAATTACGAACAACACCTCCATTTTCATTTTCTACTTCACCGAAGCCCATTTTCCATTGACTTTAATTTCTATTCTTTCCCAACCATAGAAAATAGAAAAAAATAACATCCAAAAGTCGATTTCCTCTTTCCCGAACGAATCCTTAACACGTTTTCCTAAATAATTACTTCCTCCGTCCGTGAAACATTTCCCCTTTCTTTTTTTATCCGTCCCACAAAACACTTCTCATTTCTATTAAAAAGTCACTTTTACCCCTTACTTTTTCATACCGTAACTATCACATCATACCTTTTTACTAATAATCTATCCATCAAATCATACTTTTACCCACATTACATCAAAGGACATTTTTGGAAATTCAATACCAAAATACACTCCCTTAAGTCTCTCCTAAAAAGCAAATGTCCCATGTTTCACGGGACGGAGGGAGTAGAAAAGAAAGGAAAAGAAAAATAATTTCATTTGTATCCTCGCCAAGAAAAGTAATTTTATTTTCCTCCTCTCAGTATATGTCTTCTCTCTTTTTCTTCACTTTTTTTCCCTAACCAAACAAAAATAATAATTTTCATATTATTTTCCTCCTCTCAGTATGTTGTTTTCTCTTTCTATTTTTATTCTTGTCTCACAAACTTTTTTCTCTTTTCTATTAAAAAATCATATCTACCCATACTGATTCTTAATTACACTAACTATCACATCATATTATTTTACTACTCCGTAATAATATATTCATCATATTTTAATTTTACCCACAAAGCATGAATTAAGTTTAGAGAGAAACCTCATGTCGAAATTAAAGGGTCACATTCCACAAATCCAATCAATTCAAAAGTTCCCTTCATCACATTATAAAGACTAACATAATTGATGGCCGGGAAGACAGGCCTGCCTAATTAGAGAACATAGTGTCCGCAATTTGGGGTGGGGGGAGGGACAAAATTAGCCTTGCAAGTCGTCGTCTCTTCTAATGAGATTGTTCAAGAGGGCATTGATGAGTGCATCTCTCTTCTCCGCCCTGGCCTCCTCCCTTGCCCTCCTCTGCTCCTCCCTCTCCCTCCACACCCGCTCCATCATAAGTCGCTCCCTCTCCAACGCCTCCACCGTCTGCCGCCACTCCGCCTCCCTCGCCCTCCGCTCCTCCTCCCTCGCCTCCACCGCCTTCATCCACTCCACATCCATTTGCACTTGTTGTTTCATGAACTCCTCCAAAACCTCCCTCACCCCTGCTGCTGCTGCTGCATTATTATTAGTATTATTGTTCCCACTGCCGCCGCCATTCGAGCTGCTACTTATTATTAATCCTCCCTTCGCCTCCTTCCGCCGCCTNCCACCGTCTGCCGCCACTCCGCCTCCCTCGCCCTCCGCTCCTCCTCCCTCGCCTCCACCGCCTTCATCCACTCCACATCCATTTGCACTTGTTGTTTCATGAACTCCTCCAAAACCTCCCTCACCCCTGCTGCTGCTGCTGCATTATTATTAGTATTATTGTTCCCACTGCCGCCGCCATTCGAGCTGCTACTTATTATTAATCCTCCCTTCGCCTCCTTCCGCCGCCTTTTACTGCCCTTATTTGCCGCCGCCGCCGCCGCCTCTACCTCGCTGTCCTCGTCCTCGTCCTCGTCGGAAGACATCCCCATTGACGCCGCCTTCATCCTCTTCGAGCCGCCGCTGCTGCTCCCGCCTTCTGCCTCCATCCATAGTATTCTTTGCATTCTCGCGTCGAATAACGCTTGAAGATCGTTGTAATATGGGAACTGCTGTCTCATGCCCTCTCCATCCAATGTCTCACATCCCTTTACACACACAAACATTAATGAATATTTTACATAAATTATAAATTAAAAAAATATCTCTAATATAAGAGTGATTTTTTTATCTTCCAAATAAGGCTATTAAATTGTAATAATCTAAAACTGTATAATAATATTTCACGATGTTTTCTGATATTATTTATTGATATTCTTCACATTATATGTCTTATTTCAAGATGAAAACATAAAGATTTTATGTTGGTTCTTTCCTTATACTGTTACGGGATTATTATTATTATTATCATTATTATTATTATTATTATCATTATTATTATTATTATTATTATTATTATTATTATTATTATTATTATAGGTAAGGTATTATATATGGTTAGTTAATTATTACTATTAGAGAATATTATTTTTGTTAGGTTATTAATTGGTTTCTTATTTTATTTAGTTTCTTTTAGAGATTGAGTCTCTTAGGATTCTAGAGTTTCATTCTATATATTGAGATGTACGTGTTTAGAATTATTCAATCAATAAGAAACCATTTTTCCTAAACCCTAATCTTTTACTCTTCCCTCTCGTTCTTCTCTTTCGCCGAACAAAATATCGTGCGATTCTCTCTTCTCGCCTCTTTTGTTCTTGGAGCTCGAAGGTGCTCAGTGAAATTTGCACAAAATACAAAGGACCATGCTAGGGTGCCACCACATGGGTGCTACCATGGGTGCACCCATACTTCGCACAGACAAACACAGACGATAATTGTCACAGACAATTATCGTCTGTGTTTGTCTGTGCGAAGCATGGGTGCACCCATGGTAGCACCCATGTGGTGGCACCCTAGCATTTTCCAAATACAAAATAGTACTAAAACATACTCCCTCCATCCAAAATTAAACTTTACATTACGCGTTACGATGTTTGACTGAAGTTATTTTCAAATCATTTTATATGAAAAATGGTGTAGAATTGAAAAATAAAAATTACATATTACTCCCTCCGTCTCGTGAAACATGGGACATTTGCTTTTTAGGAGGGATTTAAGGGAGTGTATTTTGGTATTGAATTTCCAAAAATGTCTTTTGATGTGATGGGTAAAAGTATGATTTGATGGATAGATTATTAGTAAAAAGGCATGATGTGATAGTTAGGGTATGAAAAAGTAAGGGGTAAAAGTGACTTTTTAATAGAAATGAGAAGTGTTTTGTGGGACGGATAAAAAAAGAAAGGGGAAATGTTTCACGGGACGGAGGGAGTAAAAAACTATATCAAAAGATCTACAAAACTAGAGGTGACATGACTATATTATTTTATCAAATGGGTGACGAATATAGGCCAACAAAGTGAATAAAGTTTGACCCCGTGAATAGTGAATGTAAAGTTTATTTGTGGACGGAGGGAGTATATCATTTCCAATACATCATTTAAATATTCTAATTCCCTAAATAGGACTTGAATAATGTCTAGTGGCGGGAACAATATCCAGTGATAATGCACATTTAGTTTGAACAATATCCTGTAACGGTAGATATTAACTTGAACAATGAACAGTAGACATTGAACAATACTACTACATTGAGAAATAAAAATATATGGTATTAAATTGGGAAAACTACTATATTTTACGAGTAGTACTATTTAGAAAAATCCTCCCTTATTATAGTCTTCCTCCTTTTAATTTAAGTTCGCATTCTTTTTGAAATACTTTGTATATGAATCGTATACACCCTCTGTTCCATAAAACTCTTTCCCTTTCATTTTTTTCCAATTCTCTAAAACACTTTCACTTTCTATTAAAAAACCACTTTTACCCCTACTTTTTCATACCCTACTTATCACATCATATTTTTTCACTAATAACCAAACTATTACATGCATCTTACTTTTATCCATCACATCAGAGACAAAATTGAAAAGTCAACCAAAATTTCATTTTATTTATTTTAGCCTAAAGTCAAAATAGGAACGGAGGAAGTAATTCATATTATTGAGTCAACCCTAATTATCGAAAAACTCTTCTGGCAAGTTTGAAATAACGAGTAACTTCCTACATAAGGCATTCGACATAGTTGACCGATGTTTTTCTCGATAGATGAGAAAACCAGTCCAAAGACGGCCCATTATACGCTTGCGTATTTATTGATACAATTAATGGGAAATTGCAAAGTTACATAATTTCGTGATATTATTTCAACTGCGACACTACCTTTTACCGTAATTTCATTCCTGACCCCTTAGGGTGATGTAATATTTCTGTGAGTGCCCTAATTAAAATGGTTTCACAATGGTGTGATGACGTAACTTTAGATTTCCTCTTAATTAATTACTCGTGTACTTAATAAATTTCACAAGAAATATAGTACTCCCTCCGTCCCAAATTATAATGTCTGTTTACTATTCACAGGGTCAAACTTCATTCACTTTCTTTCTCTATTTTCGTTAGCAATTTGATAAAATAAAATATTATTGTCACTACTAGTTTTGTAGATCTTTTGATGTACTTTTTTAATATGTAATTTTTATTTTTTAATTCTATACCATTTGTCATATAAAATGGTTTGAAAATAATTTCAGTCAAACATCGTAAACCGAAACAGGCGTTATAAATTGGGACGGAAGTAGTAGTATTATTGGCTCAGCAGCTCTAGTGTCCTCTTGATTTGAAAAATAGACACCAAAATAGTCGAAAGCTAACCAAAATTATCCTATGATCATTATTGTAAAATTTTATAAAGGCGATTTATGAATTTACAACTTTCAAACGTCCTACCGGATTGTTAACACATTAGTAGTTGACTAGTTGTTTGGATGAGAAGACAAATGAGAAGAAATAAAATTGAAAGAAATAAAATTAATGAAAGAGAAAATAATGAGAAAATATATTGTTTCAAACTACATACGGAATATTCACTAGAGCTACGCAATACAATAGTTTTGTTTTGGAAATAGAAACATGTTAATCTTAGGGGAAAAATATTAAAGTAGGAGTAAAACATTAAAAATATATAAAAATAGAAGTTTTATCTTTTTATTCTCGAAAAAAGAGTTAAAATGTATTTATACATTATCAATCATGACCATGTAAATTACCAAAAAGTACAGTGAAATGGGCATATATGCCACATTACCACAGTACGACTTCCTATTTAAGGATTAAAACATAGAACTCCTATTTTGATTTCTTTAATCTTATTTAGAAGATAAAGATTTGTTTATATTTATCTGTTCTGAAAAAATTCTCATTGAACTTTTCACAATCTCTTTAACAACAATTTGATTATTACTCCCTCCGTTCTCAAAAAGAGTTCCTATTTTGACAAAGTGTTAAATTGTAGTTGATTTCCAATTTTGCCCTTGATGTGATGGGTAAAAGTAAGATGTGATGGATAGATTATTAGAGAAAAAATATGATGTGATAGGTAGGGAATGAAAAATTAATGGTAAAAGTGGTTTTTTAATAAAAAGTAGAAGTGTTTTGTTAAAAGTGAAAAAAAATTAAAGTGAAAATGTTTTTGAGAACGGAGGGAGTAATACATATACTCCCTTTGTCCTTTAAAATATTTTCTTTTTCATTTTTTTCCTATTCCACCAAAACACTTCCACCTTTTATTAGAAAGTTACTTTTACTCATACTTTTTCTTACTTTACATATCACATCATACTTTTTCGAGTAATGCTAAAACCGCACACAAACAACTCACAAAATTCACAAATCTGTCTTTTTAATATTGTCCTAGAAATTAGATCCACCCAAATAATAAAAGATATTTTAATTTAAAAGCTACGAAAAGTAAGTTTGTGAAAGTTTGTAAATTATTTTTTTGCGACTCTAGCATTTTCCTACTTTTTCTCTAATTAACTATCTATTATTACATCTTACTTTTACCTATCACATTAAGGGCAAAAAATTAAAGACAACTACAATTTAACACTTCTTTATTTTAGCACTTGATCAAAATGAGAAGTGTTTTTCAAAAACGGAGGGGTATATATTTATACATAAAAATATATTACAAAAATATAAATTTGAAAAAATAAAATTTAAAATAAATTTATTTATATTGAGTTTTTACCATACCTTGGTGTATTTATTTTGTGGGGGAAAAAAGGGACTTGAAATCACTACTCGGAACCAAAAGCCAACTCGCCAAGGTTCGGGATGAGTTAACCACAGTCCAAAATTTTAACTTTGAAAATGTGGCGGGACCGAGATGGTTGATCACAAACTAAACTATTCTATAAAAAAATCATCCTAAATAAGAATAAAATATAAAAAAATATCAAAAAAGAAGTTTTATATTTTTATTTTTGAAATAAGACTTTACATTGTGGTAATGTTGTTGTAATGTGTATCTATATATGTGCACATTACTATATTTTTTGGTAATCTAAATGACCATATATATTTGGTACGTAATTTAAATAAATTTTAACTCCTGTTTCGAGAATAAAAACATTAAAATCCTATTTTGGTATATTTTCAATTTTTACTCCTATTTTAGTCTTTTTAAATTTTTAAAATTATGATTAAATATAAAAATATTAATGGACCAATTTTAATTATCAATTACATTAGATTTGTATTTTATATTAATAGAATAAAGTAAAATAAAATATGGAAAGTTCTCTAAATGATAAAGCTAATGAAACCATTTTTATACTAATATGAAATTCAACTTTTATTTCAATGAAAATCAAAGTTTGTTCAAATTTGACTAATAGCATTCCATTCTTCATTTTATGATATGGACCACATATTTGTTTCTAAATTAAACAAGAAAGAGAAAAGCACAGCGGAATTAAAGAAAATAAGAAGATAATTATGGAACATAGAGAGTATTATACCCCTTCGTCCTTAAATGATTTATCTGTTACGCAAAACAAATTAAAATTCCAAGTTTTTTTATTCATTTTATTTAAAGATTAATATATAAATAAAAATAAAGTTTATATATTTTAAAAGTACATAAAAATAATGTGACAAAAATATTTTATTTAGTCAAATAATCAATGAAAACACACAAATAAACAAAAATTCTCGTGATTTTTAAATAGTAAAATGTATAAATCATTTGGAGACGGATGAAGTATTATTTTCAATCAATCCGACCGCCCTATCTATTTTAAACAAGCTAAGCCTGGATATGGATCCTACAAAAACCTTAGATTAGTACGTAGTATTTTATATAGAAAAACGTTAACGGACCAATTTTAATTATCAATTACATTAGATTTTTATTTTATATTAATACAAAATAAATGATGAAGCTAATGAAACCATTTTTGAGTAATTTACCTAAATAGGACTAAAACATACTCCGTAATAACTTTCTCAATATAGAACCATTTGTTTTTATTTCTCAATGTAGGACCATTGGTCATTATCTATTAGTCATTATTCAACTAAATGTCCTGCATCACTTGGACATTATTCTTTTCAGTAGTCATTATTAAGTCTTATTTAAGGAATAAAAAAGTGTGAATTCTACATTGAGAAATGACTTATGTTTTAGTCCTATTCACTGCAAATTTCACACCATTTTTATAGTAATATGAAATTCAACATTTATTTAATTGAAAATCAAAATTTGCTCAAATTTGACTAAGAGCATTCTATTCTTCCTATAATTTTACTCTTAGTTTGAGTTGACACAATTTTTTTTAAAAAAGAAACATGTGTAGTTGCTTTTTGTGTAGTGAAGAGATTAAAATGATATGAACCACATATTTGTTTCCAAAAGAAGAAAGAGAAAAACACAACCCAAATAAAAAAATAAGAAGATAATCATAGAACATAGAGAGTACTCGGTATTATATTATCTTCGATCCATCCGACCCGCCCTATCTATTTTAAACAAACCAAGCGTGGATATGGATCCTACAAAAATGGCTTCGAGACACCCCAAGCATATCCGTCTCAAATTAAATTGTTTTTTCATTTAATAATATTTGATTAAAATTATTTTTAATGCAATTTATTTAATAATTAGAGTGAAATTAAAAAATAAAATTTATATATTTAAAAAAACTACATAAAAATTTCTACAAAAACACAAGTGACATTTATATATTATTTTATCAAATGATTAGTTAAAATAATTTAATTAAGGAGAGAGAGAGTATTATAAAGTGGTGGAAGTTGAAAAGATAACAAAAAGTCAAATGAAGGGATATCAAATAAAAACAGTACCCCTTCGTTAATTAGAAATAAGAAGCCTTCGGTATAATACTAAAATATAATTACTTTCTTAATATAGGACCATACGTTTTTATTTCTAAATGTAGGACCATTGGTCATTATCTATTAGTCATTATTCAATTAAATGTCCAGCATCACTTCGACATTATTTTTCTCACTAGTCATTATCAAGTCTTATTTAAGAAATAAAAAAGTTTAAGTCCTACATTTTGAGAAATGACTTATGTTTTAGTCCTATTCAGTACAAATTTCACTATGGTGATTTCATAGCATTATTCTGATTTCTAAATAAAAATCAAACAATATATATAATCGATCTGTCGCTTATAATTTTCTTGCTGAGGAAATGTAAACAAACCTTGTAACGAGTGACGAGGTTTTTCCACTTGCACTTGCACTGCTCGGCGCTGCGATGGAAACCCCTTTCCTTCATCTTGGTTGCAATGATTTCCCAAAGAAGCTTGTTCCGCTTCGTCTGCATGAATGTCGGATCCAGCTCCCCCCGGATCCCCAAGAACTCCCGGGTTTCCTGACTGCTCCATTGCGGAAACCTGTCCCCCGCCGCCCCGCCTCCGCCTGTCTCCGCCCCTGCGCCGCCGCCGTACTGGTGGGGCTGAAGATGGCCCACCTTAGGGTGCAACTGGTGGTGATAGCTGTCCATGTATGTGTGTGTGTGTGTGTATATATATATATGTATGTATGTATTTATGTGTGTGTGAATGTTTGCGCGTTTTTTTATTACATATGTGTAATAAAAGAAAGAAATAATGAATGAATGAAGGAGGGATAAGCAAGAGATTTTGATGGGGATTGGTGAATGGTGAGAAAGAGAGGGTTTTATATTTTGTGATGCTTTGGACGTGTGAAAACGTTTTAGGTGTGAATTGTCAAATAGAATATGAAAACTACTTGTGGGGCCGGCCGTGTAATAGAATGATTAAAGATTTAAGTAAGGAAGAAAAAACAAAAAGAGATTGTAGAAGAGAAACCCCGTTGCGGGTTGAGAGTAAATGGATGCAAAAAGAAAAGACAATCCTTACTTTATGAATTCTACTATATTCATTTCTAATAGGAAGACTCCTAATATTATTTAGTTTCCTTATTCTTGTATTATCATAATTACTTTATTCTTTTCCTACTAGGAATAGGACTCTCTCTTGTAATCCCTATATATAGGAACATATCTCTCAATATTCAATAAGACAAATTATTATCAAATTGTATCATGGTATCGGAGCCTAGGTTTAAACCCTAGCCCTTTTTTTCGAGACTGTGCCTTCACCGCCGGTCTCCTTCCTCTCGCCGGTCGACCATAAACGGCAACCATGGCTCAATCTTCAGATCCGCTTGCTTCGCTTCCTTCTGGCGTCAAGCTTCTTCTCCGCAATCTCCATAATCTTATCCCAGAGAAGCTCACTGATTCAAATTATCCTGCATGGTCTCTCAATGTCAAAACTGCTCTCGAGGCCAACCTTCTTCTTGGTTGGATCGATGGTCATGAAGCTGCGCCTCCAAAAATCCTATCCAAGGATGGCAAGGAAAACCCTA